GCCTGCCACCGCGGGCGCCCAAGCAGCGTGGTCGCGCGGGCCGCAGACGTCGACCGACGCCCGCGCCACGCCCTCGTCGGCTTCGCGGCCTGCCAGCGCCGCGGCCTCACCAGCGCGGCAGCGCCAGCGCGACTCGCGCGCGCACGAGACCCAGCGGTCGCCGAGCAGAAGCAGAGGACAGCACTCGAAGAACAAACGACGGCAAAAACATAGTTTCTCGGAGCTCCGAGCGGATTTCTTGGATCGGCACTGGGCCCCCATCCTTGGCGCGCGGAGCGCGCCAGAGGCGGTGCCGGAAGCGCCACCAGGCCCAGTGCGTCTGTGAAGGGGGGGGTGCAGTGGTGTCAAGCACCACTGCAAGAAATTCACGCGGACCTCTAAGAAGTTATGCTTGCGCAGTTTTTGCTCCTCGGGGCACAGCTCCAGCCGACCGTTCTGGCCTTGTCGTCCTAATTCCGACCTCGGCCTCCAGCGGGGGCCGTTCCTTCTCCGACCCGTCCGAGAAGTGGCCACCGCGGAGGAAGCGGAAGTTCTACGGTTCCGGGCTGGGAGGCACACATCGCCTGAGACATTTAAGCAGTGACGAGGCGTCTCGGCTTGCCTTTAGGCCCACCGAAATGTTCTAAGAACTTGTCGTGGTTTGCGCGCAGTGTTCTTAGAACTGTTCTGGTTGGGACTGTCTTGTGTGAACACATGGCTTTTATGCTAAAAGAACATGGTTATTAGAGCAATCTCGGGTTCTAAGAACATGTCGTGGTAGGCCTATAGGAGCTTATAGGCCTGAGCAAGGAAAGAGCGCGTCCTGTTGTGGTCGCTTGGAGGGGGGTTAGGGGGGTTTGGAACCGCCCCCCCCCCCCCTGGATTGAAGGCGGGGGGGGAATTCAAACCCCTCACCCCCCGTCTCTTCTGTGACGGATGGGGGGGGTTCAAACCCTACTCCCCCCACCCTCGCTCCTCCCCTACTCCTCCGCTTTTCCCCTCCTCGGGCTGGCGCTGCGTCTCCAATGCAGCGTGCCGCGGTGGCGGCCCGCGGAAGCCGCCGCGTGAGGTCGCTGTGCCATCTTGCGTGAGACCCATTTTTGATCGTCGCTCGTGTGGGCTTCGAGCTCCTCCGCAGGGCTTCTGAGGGGCATGTGTGAAGCCTCCTAGGCGACTCTTGGGCGTCTCTCGGGGCCTCTCTGAGGTGGTGGTGGTGGTGGGTTGTGGTGGTGGTGGTGGCGGTGGTGATGGAGGTGGTGGTGGTGGTGGGTTGTGGTGAGGTGGTTGAGGTGGTTGTTGGTGGTGGTGGTGGTTGTGGTGGTGGTGGTTGTGGTGGTTGATGTGGTGGCGGTGGTGGTGGTGTGGTGGTTTGTGGTGATGGTGGTGGTAGTTGTGGTGGTGTGTTGTGGTTGTGGTGGTGGTGGCGGTGGTGGTGTGATGGTTTGTCGTGGTGGTTGCGGTGGTCGTAGTGGTTGTGCCGCGCTGTGGTTTGGGGTGGGGGTTGTTGTTTTGGGTTCCGTAGACGGGCAAACGGCGATGTAGCTAACGGCGATGTAGGTTTTGGTATTGTAGGTGAGGCTGGCTCGCGTGCTGGCGGCATTGGCTTCGGGGGAACCGTGTCTCGCAGGTGCGACCTGCGTGAAAAGCAGCCTTGTTTGCATTTATTCTGGGATTTCCTACGAACTCAGAATTTCGCGCCGTAGACGGTTAAACGGCGACGCGGATAACGGCGACGCAGGAAAAACGATTGAAGGAAAGCGTTGTTGGTGGCCGAGCCGTTTGTAGGAAAGCGTGGTTCGTGCATTCCTACATTTCGCGGTGTCGTTTTCGCTCGATACATTCGTAAATTTGAAATGTAGGAAACGGTGGTTCGTGATTTCCTATATTTCGTTTTGCGTGGGCTCTGCGTCGCAACGACGTCCGAGTTCAAACGAGCGCGCGCGATAGTTGCACGTGCGGCGCGCGCACGGCTTTGACGCCTGTAAGCGTTCGGGAACACTTAAACAAGGATGTGGAAGTTTGTTTTCGTCAAGATGGAAAGTAAGTGCGCCATGGCACCGAATTCATCGAGTTTACACTGCGAGCGGGGGGTCTTAAACATCAGATTCTCAACCTCGCCCTTAAGCAACATCGCCGTTTGCCCGGGTTTGGGGGTTGTGGTGGTGGTGGTGGTGATGGTGGGTTGTGGTGGCGGTGGTGGTGGTTGTGGTGTGGTGGTTTGTGGTGGTAGTGGTGGTGGTGGTGGCTGTGGTGGTGGTGGTGGTGGCAGGTCGTTGTGGTGGTGGCGGTGGTGGTTGTGGCGGTGGTGGTTTGTGGTGGTGTGGTGGTTTGTGGTCGGGGCGGTGGTGGTGGTGGTGGTGGTGGTGTTGTGGTCTGTGGTGGTGGTTGTGGTGGTGGTGTGGTGGTTTGGTGGTTTGTGGTGGTGGTGGTGGTGGGTTGTGGTGGTGATAGTGGTGGTGGTGGTTGTGGAGGTTGTGTTGGTGGTGGTGTGGTGGGTTGCTGTGGTGGTGGTAGTGGTGGTGGGCTGTTGTTGTGGTGGTGGTTGTTGTGGGTTGTTGTGGTGGTGGTGGTGGTGGCTGTGGTGGCCGTGGTTGTGTGGTGGTTGGTGGTGGTGGTGCTGGGTTATGGCTGGTTTATGGTGGAGGTTTGTGGTGGTGGTGGCAGGTTGTTGTGGTGGTGGTGGTGGCGTGGTGATTTTTGGTTGTGGTGGTGATGGGTTGTGGGTGGTGGAGGTGGTGGTGGGGTTGTGGTGGTTCTGGTGGTTGTGGCGGTTTGTGGTGGTGGTGTTGGGTTGTGGTGGTGGTGGGTTGTGGTGGTGGTGGTGGGTGTGGTGGTGGCGGCGGCGGTGGTGGTGGTGGTGGTGTGGTGGTTTATGGTGATGGTCGTAGTGGTCATGGTGGGTAGTGGTGGTTTGTGGTGGTGGTGGTGGCGGTTCTGGTGGTGGTGGTGTGCGGTTATTTGTGGTCGTGGGGGTGGTCGTGGTGGTGGTGGGTTATGGTGGTTGTGGTGGTGGTGGTGGCGGTGGTGGTGGTGGTGCGGTGGTTAGGAGGTGGTGGTGGTGGTGGTAGTGGTGGTGGTGGTGGTGGTTTGGCCTTCGGGTCTTCCCGTCACCGTGTCTTTACTTTGGGTTGTAGTTTCAATGGGTGCCTCCTGGGGTCTCGTCAGAGGGGTCCCGGGAGCGTCCGAGGAGCATGTGTCAGGGCTCTTGGGCGCCTCTTGGGCGTCCCTATGAACTTCAGGGCCCCCGGTGGCTTCTGGGAAGCACAGGCTCGATATGGCAAGTTGTATTTTCCTGTGGCGGCTGCTGGGCCCTCTCTGGCCATCGTCGCTGCGGTGCGGCTGCCGTTGGTGCCGCCGACCGCCGCCAGCGCAGGCGCCAGAACCGGCACCGAGGAGAGAGGAGGGGGAGGGGGGGCTCGAACCCCCCCCCCAGGAAGCTGGAAGGGAAAAGGTTGGAGGAGTTAGAATCGGGGGCGGCAAAGAGGGGGGTGATGTCTAGGGGGGGTGGATATCATGGCGGGGGCCATGATATTTCCCCAGATTTCATGGCGCCTCTTCTTATTTCATTACGTCCGCGGGCCCCCCCATGGGCCGCGCACATGCCGCCGGTCATGATTTGCGCCCCCCCTCTGAACGCCCCCCTCTTAGCCGCCCCGAGAGGGAGGGTTCGAACCCCCCCCGGGAAGCCGGAAGAGAAAAGATTGGAGGAGTTAGAACATCTTGCTCCTTTCCCCGGGGGGGGGGGGTGTTCGGGAGGGGGGGGGTTTAGGGGGGCAGAGGAGACCCCTGGTTCTGATCGACGGCGCCGAGAGTTGGGGGGGTGGGGCCCGCCGCCCGGTTCGAAGCGCGCCGCCGAATGCTCCCATGGCAAGCGCCCGTGAAACGCGCTCTCTCCGATCAGGACATGGCACCGCCCGAGCATACCCGTACGAGATGTGCGTCGGCCACGCGAGGGCGGCGCGCACGCCTGGGGATCTTAGAGTGTGAGCTCCGTAGCAGGCGCTTCTTGGCCATGACGCACGGGTAACTACACACTACAAGACTCGTGTTGTGGAGGTCAATTCGGATGGAGAGGGAGCATGCTGCCAAATAATTCCCAGATGACTAAAACATGGTTCGGGCATCGTTCACAAGACGTAAGAACAGGTTTGAAACATGTTTGGAACATGCTTCACACAGTTTTCACACATGGTCGATTCAATGATACAGTCAACCCGCAGAGTGAGGATGGGCAACCTTCCCAAGGGTACCCTTGCATCCTTGCCTCTTCGGTCTATCCTTGACCACTTCCGTTGGCTGCGCCCCGCTCGGGAAGCTTCGGAATGGACATCCAAGGCCCTTTGCGTCCTTATCTGGCACCTTTACTATACGGGTTGACTGTAGGAGTGTTAGAGTGATCATTGCCATGGCATCCACAATACTCGTGTGTGTGCTACGTAATACAGGACTTGTGTTGTGGATGTCGATGACTGATTTGTCAACACAGGTTTAACACATCTTTAACCCAATGGTAGGACTGTTAGGGTGATCATTGCCATGGCATCCACAAGACTTGTGTGCGTGCTGCGTGCATCCGGTGGCACAACATTGCTCATCGCCTTCGTGGTGCTCCTATCCCTCCTGGACGTCGACCTGGTCAAGTGGCACGTCCTCCTCTGCAGTGTTTGAGGCTGGTGTTCGCCTCCGGTCCCTGTCCGCGGCGTACCTTTTCCTGTGCAAGTTCTTCGGCACCGCCTGCACCCTGGGCTCCGCCCGCTCCGGCCGCCTGAGGTCGCGCCCTCCTGTGCCCTGTCTTCCTAATTAAAAGCTGTGCGTAGCCCGCCTAGCTTTCAGCGGAAGAGGTTCGCTCTCGCCCCGCCGACCAAAAAGTGCGTGTGCTGCGTGCTCAGCTCGGGCGTGCGCCTCCACGAGGGTGGCAGAGCACCGCAGCCCTGCGGAGGGCCTCCTCCGAGCGCCCCCCGGGCACGCCCGTGCTGGTCCGCGGCGCGCCGGGGGAGGGTCCGCGCACGTGCCGCCCGCCACTTTGCAGCGCAGTCGTGCTTCCTCCTCTTCCTCCTCCTCCTCCTCCTTTCCCTCCTCCTCCTTCCCCTCCTCCTCCTCCTCCTCCTCCTCCTTCTCCTCCTCCTCCTCCTCCTCCTCCTCCTCCTTCTCCGCCTCCTCCTCTCCTCCTCCTCCTC